ACCTTAAGATCGCAGTATCAGAAAAAGCCTTAAAGGAGTGCTGGCCCCGGACCACCAAATGATGGATTCAAAGTCACCCAGGTCACCCAGAGTGGTCGAGTCTACAACAGATTCTAAATCTTCAACCTACCAGGTTAGTGCTGTTCTTCCCAATAGGAGGCAGACTCACAGGATGAGGAACTTGCCAGTCACCTCCTCTGCCAAAGTTTCTAGTATGTTAGACTAGAACAGGATAGCCCTGCTGTATATATGCATACATGTACATATGTTTACACACATCTACTGACACCCAGACCTACATGTCAGCCCCAGATTAAGGGGAAAATCTTTCTTTAATCTTACATGGACAATTTGTACATCAAGAGGAAAATCGCTGTGTGTTTGGGTCGCTGCCTACAAAGTACTATACCCTGAACCGAGTGCCAGGGATTTGAAGGTGAGCAAAATCTGACACAGCCTGCCCTAGGAGAGCTTATTGTCCAGTGCACAAAGCAGATGTTACACAGAGATTTACACAGGGAATATGTTGATTCCTGAGCACAGTGTGCAATGCCAGAGTAGACAAACACTTCTATTGACCAAAGACTCCAGGTGACACTGAAGCAGGTGCTTTGAAAAGCTTGAGCTACAGTCAGCAGGCGGCAGAACCTCCCCCCCCACCAGCTGCTATGAAAGCAGCTTCTAATGAGTTAATGAGCAGCCCGAGGATGGAGGGTGACTGGGGGGGGGGTGGAGGGGACACAGTAATCTGCAGAGCATTAGCAGATGCTTCAGCAGGAGCCTGGGGAAGCTATTTGCCAGTTGGCTGCAGCTTCTGAAAGAGCAAGCAGAAGGGTCAATCCATGTGGCCTTCATCAGTTCAGTGACCATATTTTAAAATAATAATAACAAAGAACATGTAATCTAACAATGTTTTTGCCTTACAAATTAATTTGATAAAATAACTCACACAAGCAAAAATTAAATTGAACTTAGTTATACAATAATTCAATTGGCTCTATTGAAAAAATACATTTATATAAGGTCTAAGGCATGTATAATCTGGAAACTAAGATCTTAGCATTTTAGTTTGAGAGTGGGATATAAAGATTGTAGAGCCACCCTCCCCCCAATTTAATAAGGAAAGGAAGATGCAGAAAGATAAGTGACTTTGTTCTAGGTCATGCCAATGGCAAGATGAGAGTATAATTCATCGCACTCATGAGTACAGCATGCTACCTACCTTGACCCATGCTCTGGTGAGCTGCAAACTGATGATACACCCAATCAAATATATGAAAAGCTCCTACACATTACTAACAAAAGAAATGCAATTTAATACCCAATATATCAGTCCTCACCGATCATATTGGAGAAGTTCAAAAAAAGCAAATAAAGTATCAAGATTACTGGGGTTATATTAACAGCAACTTGAAGAGGCTTCCGCTGAATGAGTTGAGCATTATCAAGGCTTCAACTATCATTGAAATGGACTAAAACACATCAAATATGTTAAAATCCATGAGTTCAAAATGACACAAACAGGAAACAAACAGGAAAAACAATGATGGCCAACATCAAAAACATAAACATCTTTTGCAAGATGCCTAGAAACCAACTCTGTAGTTTAAAACTGTTTTTAAAAAAACAAAAGCAGAGTTTTCCTGTCTTTAGAAACTATAGGTCAAAGTAAATAATCAGTGAAGGAAATTTCTTTTTATGGAAGCATCCCGCTATAAATGAAGAGGAAATGATGGAATTAGAATGTCGCCATTTTATCAAACCAAATGAAATAGTGGATCTAGAAAATGACGCTCAGGAGCTGCTCACAACCAGACATGATGCACCTCTTGGAAGTACAACACACAGCCCCGCTGCCTATGAACTGCTCTTGCCAAAAGTTCCAAGTGGGTTGGCCAGTGCTTCTGGGGGCTCAGCATTCTCACAGACATGGCCTTTGTCTGAGCCTCAGCTGTTCTCACTTGCTCTTTTGCAATAAACTCCTAACTGAGCCTCCAGGTTCCTCACCTCAAACCATCAGAGGATCTACCGTAAAATGCATTAATGTGTCTGGCTACAGCTCTCCCCTTCTCTAACCAGTCAGGCCCTGATGTGGGTTGAATTGTGTTTTCCCCAAAAGATGTGTTCAAGTCCTAAGCCCTGGCACCTATGTATGTCACCTCATTTGGAATAGGGTTTTTGCAGATATAACCAAGTTGATTCATACTGGATTAGGGTAGACCTTAATCAATGACTGGTATCCTTATAAAAGGAAATTTAGACAAGACACACGGAGGGAAGATGGCCATGTGAAGACAGAGGCATACACTAGAGTGATGCACACACAAGCCAAGAAATGCCAGGGATTGCTGGCGATCACCAGAAGCCGGGGGAGCTGCCGTTCCAGCTTGTCTGCAAGGGATCCCTCCCTCACACCCAGTGTCAGCAAAACCAAACCCATCAGTTACTCCAGGGAGCCAGGCTCTTGCATACTTTTGACCTTCCTACATATTTTGTTCCCTTTGCCTATAGTCATTGTCTTCCCTCTCCTGCTATTCAGTTGCCCCCTGGTCTTAGCTTTCCTTAGCTTTCCTCCCGGGCAGAATTAAAGCCCTTCTGGGCCCTTCTTGTGCCAATCTCTTCCTTTGGGTTTGCCAGGCAGCATTGTGGTGGATCCCCCACCAGACATGAACTCGGTCATAACAGAGAGAACATCTTACTGTTTCCACAATCCCAGTGCCCAACAGAGTCATAATATTTGTAATGTTGATTAATATTAATAATCAGCAGCTAATGGAATTGAGCAGTTCCAAGCATTGTTCCAAGCCGTGTATTGACTCAGTTAATTCTTACAATTCTGAATCCTTATCCCTATTCTACAGTTGAGAAAACAGAGGCACAAAAGGCTAAATGGCATGCCCTATGTCACACACAGTAAATGGCAGAGGCATGATTCAGCGCCACTCTAGACCCAGAGCTTGTGCTCTTGATCACTCTGCTCTGCTGCCTCTCAGGACACAGAGCAGAGCAGGTGACCAGGAGATTGGATGGGGTTGGAACGTAGGAAGTGGTGGGGAAAACGAATGAATGAATAAGCAATAACTTCTCTTCATAGAGGTTAATATATAATCTAACCAGCCCATGGCTCTCCTTGTTTTCCAAGTTACCAGGTGCAAACCCCAGAGTTGGAAGCACAGTTTGAGAATGTGTCTGAATGACATTGAATGCAATGGCAAAGGAGCCCAGTGGTTTCTACGTGATGTGTGATTCACTAGCGTAGGAATGTATTTACTGAAATTGACTTTTCGTCTGCAGTGCTCCCTTTGGGATCCACGCTGGCTGGGCTCCTGATTCCTCAGTTTTTATCTCTGCAACTTTTTTCACCTGCCTTCCCTTGGCAACTGTCCAGTTCCTCCACCTGACCTTGCTGACCTGCATTTCACTCGACTCTGACCTCAGCCACGTCCGTTTTCATTTTAGCTTTCAGCAAGGTGCAGACTTTATTAGCTTGGGGTTTTCTCAGAGCAATATATGTGCATTTTAAAGCTTTAGTAACCAGATTATTACTGAAATGTTACAAAATTAAAATGCAATTAGCAACCACCCCACAAAAACAAGCCTTGGGGAAGTACCATTTGGTGTGTCTTTTGCCCTTTACAGTGTTGTTTTTTTTTTAATTATAGTACGATACACATAACACAAAATTTACCATTTGTGACATTTAGTACATTGACAATGTAGTGTGGCCATCACCACTATCTAGCTCCAGAATATTTCCAGCATCCCAAAAGGAAACTCTGTACCCATTAAGGAGCCACTCTCTGTTCTCCCGTCCCCACTACCCTGGCAACCATCTGCTTTCTGTCCCTATGGATTGACCTATTTTGAATATTTCATATAAATGAAATCATACAGTATGTGACCTAATGTGTCTCACTTTGTTCACTTAGCATGTCTTTAAGGTTCACCCATGTTGTAGCATGTATCGGTACTTTGTTCTATTTATGTCTGAGTAATATTCCATGGCATGGATATACCACACTTTTTATCCCTTCATCAGTAAATGGACATGTGGGTTGTTTCTATCTTTCATTTATTGTGAACAGTGCTGCTATGAATATCCATATACAAGTTTTTCTTTGAACATCTGTTTTCAATTCTCTTGGGTATATTCCCAGAAGTGGAATTGCTCTAAATGCATAACTCTATGCTTCCATTATTGAGGAACAGCCAACGTCTTTCCACGGTGGCTGCACCACTTTACATTCCCACCAGCAATGTGAGAAGTTTCCAGTTTCTCCACATTCTCACCAACACATGTTATTTTCCCTTTTCTTAAAAAAAAGCATAACCATCCTAGTGGGTGTAACTTAGAGTCTTTTTAAAGTGCAAATATGATTTTAGCAGTGCTCCTCCAAGTTTCAAGTACACATGCATCATTTGAGGATCTTATTAAAATATAGATTCTGATGCAGTAAGTCAGTGGGATCTGAGGTCCTGCATCTCTAGCAAGCTACCAGCGAATGCTGGTGCTGCTGGTCTGCTGGGTAGTCACTTGTTTGAAACCCTCCTGTCGCTACCCACCGTGATTAGAATACAATCCACACTCCTTACCATGTTTAGAAGGCCAATCCTTCCAACCTCCTCTCTGCCATTCTCCCCCTTCTAACCACATTCCAGTCATTCTGGGCTTCTCTTTTGCTTCTTGAACACGCCATGGCTTTCCTGCTACTGGGACTTTGTATCTGCTGTCCCCTCTGCCTGGGACTCTCCGCCCCCTGATCTTCATGTGGCTGCCTCGTTATCCCTCAATTCTCAGCTCAAATGTCTCCCTACAGAGAGGCCTTCCCAGAGCCTGCTCCCTAAGTACCCAATTCTCCCCCAACCCAACCCCACTGGTCGCGCTCTACCTCGTCTTGTTGCTTTTTGCTTGTTTTTACAGCACTTATTCATATCACCATTTGAAACTTACTTTTCAAAAATTAATTGATAGTTTTATTCTCTACCTCTCCCCGCTGGCATGTAACACACTATGACACCAAGACCTCTTCTTTCTCATTCATTACTATATCCCTCAGGCTCAGAGCAGAGCTGTGTATTGTCCATATGGTGCACAATAAATGCTTATTTAATGAATCAGTGAGTCGACTGCAGTTTCAGGCCTTTCCTCTTGCACATCTCCATGGTTTTCAGATATGGCCATGCACGTCTAAAATTTAATCCAGAGAAGATTATAAATCACTATCAGAATTGCAGACATGGAGCACCTACCTTCCTGCAGACTTCTAGGCCACTTGAACAGTCCTCAGATAAACTCCTGCAGTTTATCTCAACCTCCGACTAGCCTTATTCATTGTCTCTGCTCCCACACCCACTTTTCCCGTCAGTGGTTTTATATCTGTTTACAAATAGAGAAAGTGAAATACAATGTTCCCTTTCCCTCTGTGGGTTCTGTTTCCCTTTGTAAACACACAGCTCTGCGAACATTGCAGATACATGTCCTAACAGCCTTCCTAGCCTCATGGAATAGGTGTCACATTTTTCTGTCTCGTGGTGTCTTCCCTATGCCAGGAGGTGCTTTCCATTTCCCTGGATAAAGTCGACATCTCCTTTTCTCTTTCTACTGTGGGGCCTGAAGACTCTGGATTTCTCTGGACCTTCTTTGGGGCTCTGCCTGCTTCTCATTTCAGTCATCTCATTTGGGTTTCAACTCCCCAGAGTATTTGGAGCTTTATTCTATCAGATAGGTTTCCTTGTGTCTTTTCCACTTTTTGTCAACATGGGGTGTTCATTCTTTTATCATTAAAATAATTGCCTAAATATTGTGGGGGGAGGGCATTTATTGAAACCTTAAAATCTGTTCCTCCATAATATGCTGAAATAAAAAATAATAATAATAATTGCCTAAATAAGCACTCAGGTTTTGTGGATCCCTTCAGTCTATATACCTCTGTTTCAGAGAATTTTAGGACTTGTCCCCTAAGACTGTGAAAGCTGTCATTTTCTAGTTTAGTTTCATGTTTAAAGTGAATGGTCTCTTTTCATTTCCTGTAATTTAAACCTGAGCAGTTCTGGATCACTTTCCTTCCTACACCCTCAAACCTGTCCTAATGGGAGAATGAGCTCATAAAGGTGTGTACCATGTCGCATGCAGAAAACGCACCGTGCTGGTCTTATTTTCCTGGGTAGGAGTTTGTAGCAAATCTTTGCTAAAATGCCTTCTTTGCTCTTTTATCCTTTTCCACCTTAACCGAGAAGCTTCCCACCCTCTGTTTTTCATCTGTTTCTCAATTTGGTGATTATGAGCTAAAAATCTTCACTGCTCATGTTTCCTAAACACCTTTCTTCTAGTCCTGTGTTTTAGTCAACCACACATTGGCCTTGGTGATAAATCATAATTTCTGGCTTCTCTTTCTTACTCAATATCCAAGAATGTATTTGTACCAACTGTACATCCAGCTGCTCTTCTATCTCTTGTGGAGCTTCTTGCATTTTTCTGCTGGTTTACCTGCTTCCTCCCCAGTCGGTGAGCTCCTGCAGCCAGACACCGTATTTACTGATCTTTCTACCTCCAGCATTCAGCACACAGCCCACCTCAGGGTAGATTCTTAGTACATGTTTAGATAGCACTGAATGAATATACGTGACCCTTTCCCTTCCAAGCCAAGAGACACAAAACCCAGGCATGCGAGACTGTTAAATAACATGGAAGGAGAACGCACAGTTAAGTGTGCAATCGGGTCAGTAAGTGCTCAATGACAGGAAAGGAATACAAGCTCATAGAGCTGCAGAGAGCTTTATGTAGAATGTAAGACCTAAATTTGGCCATTAAGAAGAGAGAGTGAGAGAAGCTTTGAGGAAGTACCGAGGGCACTTGAATTTTCCAGACTGTTCCTCTAAAGTTTCCTTGTGTGGATGTCTTTGTTTTTCTTTTCATCTTATCATAGCATCTCCCTGGTTAGGTGGCCTGTACTCTTCTCTTCCACCTCTACCAACCTGTTTGAAATCCTCTTATAGTGCTTATCTGTGCACGCTTATCTTATTTTTTAGTCCAGCATGGGGTATCAAAGACTCTGATGGACAATACTTCTTTTGTCTCCTCTTTCAAATGTCCCTTGGGCCACTCTCCGGGCCTAGTGTGGTAACTGAGGCTGCCTCTCAGGAAAAAACCAGGTTGTGGGGTAATTAGGTCATAGGCAACACTGAAACCAGCGGATTCAGCTGGAGACTAGGCTAAAATTCATCAAGATTCTCCTGGCTTGAACTCACAATAGGCTAATTTTAGGTCTGTAGGTTTGGTCTGGCAGAGCAGTGACAATTATATCCTTTCTCCAAATGTCTTGCCTCCACTGACTTATTGAAGTATTTATTTTCTATCCCTGAATCATTCAAAATAGCAATATAATTGTTATGTCCATTTCCCCAGCTCTCACAGGTTTGGGAGCCAGTTACCTTTCCCAGTTCATTAACCGACTGGCCTTCGCATTAACAGCCCCTCCATCAGGGGTTGCCTTGGAGACAAAGCTTCCTGTGGGTAATCCAAGATTATCTAGCTCTTTGTCCTACATGTGACCCTTAATTACTTGCTAAATTAGAATGGTTTTCTGAAAATCACAAGCGGAGGTTAATATGTTCTTCCAGAGCTGGTCAAGCTAAGATGACACTGAATTCACAGGGAATTCAAGTTACATGATCCCTGAAGGCGTCTCTTTGAGTAAGAAGATGAACTCTCCCCCGGGAGGCATGGCCCCCCCATAAAGCCCCTGTCACTCACTGTCCCTCTGCCTGCTTTTCTAGTTGTGGTTTAATCTTCTCAGGACAATTCACTATGTCAATATTGAGCAGATTCATTCTGGTGCAGGATCCTGCACCCATTTGTCTTTGATAACTAACTGCTTTAAATTTAAGTACATATTTGTATCATAATTGCAGGTTTTTACTCTGCATTTACTCAATTAGAAGGTTTCATGTACCAATGTGGGACAAGCAAGGAGACTGAAGAAACTATTAAAAAACAGAAAGTAAACACTTTGGGTAGAAAAGTCTGGGCACTAGAATGTCCTCCCTAACATTTTATAGGCCTCAAAGAGAGATTAGCAGAAAAGAGGGACTCTTAGAATGCACCTAATGAGATGCCTCTTCAAATGCCTTTTGGAAGTAAGTACCATGTAAGTAATGCAGGTATTGAATGAGAATTATCATTAGAGGCCATAAATTTAGCATCACTAGATGTTTAGTCATCTAGACTATAATGAAGCTACTGAGTAGCATTCCAGGAACAACAACAACAACAATAAAAAACTATCTTAAAATTTTAAATATTATAAAGAGTTTTCAACATTAAAATATCAAACTAAGAACAGTTCAGAGCCTTGGAATCTCACATACATCCTTCCAAAAAGTGTTTAAGAAACTGACCTAACTCATGTTAGAAATAAACATCATTTATGATCTGACACCTCAAATCATTCATTCATATTTTGGAAGGGGTTTTGGCAGATTGCCATAAACTTCAATCAGGATGCTTGACTGATTACATATCAAGTTTTGCATATTTGTGTATAGGTATATCCCTCAACTGTGTACCACCTTTAATCATCCATTGTGTATACAGTTTTATTGAACCACAGTTGTCTCAGTAGAAATTAGCAGAGCAGTCCTTTGAAAATCACTTTCTTACATTTGCTCACATCTTAATTACATATGTGAAGCACCAAAAAAGTGACTTTGGGTCTGATATACTTAGATTAGCACCAGAGTGAATTTCTTTTAGAGGGAAATTTGGTAAATCTTGGAGTGGTTACCAAGGAAAACTGAGATTGTCTTTGATGGTGTTTTAAAATAGCTTCATTCAGCATTTTCTGAAGTACATTCCACAAGACAGAAGTCCTTCAGCATATTATTACAAGAAGTGTTATGCAAAAAGAATTCTGTGACCAAATAACCTTGGGAAATGTTGTGTTAAAACAAAGTTAATTTACAAAATGTAATTAGGCTGCACCACTATACAACTTCCAAGAGCTTTTAACACTTAAATGCGCATTTATGAAAATCCAAGTATCCTAAACTTATTTACTTATAGAATTCCTGTTTCCATAGTATAATACCTCATAGCATCTCTTGGAGCCAGCAAGTTATAAGGAACACACTTTGGGAAACACCTTTTCTTTATCTTAGCCCGATTTGGCTAATCGTTACAGATATAACTAATCAAAAAAAAAATCAATGAATCAGACATCCCTTTATCACACCCTTAAAACCTAACAGTAAAGATTATTGAACTCCTCATTCAATTCTTTTGATAGTTTACAACTTTCTTTTCTTTTTCTTTCTTTTTTTTTTTTTTTTTAAGACCAAGTCTCACTCTATCACCATAGCCAGAGTGCAGTGCACCTCAAGCTCCTGGGCTCAAGAGATTCTCCGGCCTCAGCCTCCCAACTAGCTGGGACTACAGACATGTATCACCACTTCTGGCTAATTTTTTCTCTTTTAGTAGAGACAGGGTCTTGTTCTTGCTCAGGCTGGTCTCGAACTCCTGAGCTCAAGTGATCCTCCCACCTCGGCCTCCCAGAGTGCTAGGCTTACAGGTGTGAGCCACCAAGCTCAGCCACACCTTTCCTTTAACTCAGTAATTCAATGATTTCTACTAACTCCTACCTGCAGGAAACTGTATTATTATTCCTCCTATTTGCTTTCCTCCCTGTGACAGAATTATATGTCCCTGCCCCATTGGTGCCATGTGACATCTTTTGGCCAATAGACTTCTAATAAAAGTGACATGTGTGCAGAAGTCACCAGCTACTGCATGGCTCTGCCATTTTCTCATTCCGTATGCCTGAGCAGCCGTCCTACTTCATTTGGCTCCTACTTTACTTGAGTCCCAGAAGGAAGATGTGGAGCAGAGCCTGGCTGGCTTGCAATCCACGTGTCACATGTCTGAGAAGTACATCCTTGTGTTTGTAAGCACCCAGATTTTGATATATCTCCTCCTGCTGCTCCTCCAGCTCATTCCCAGGAACAAGGGAGAGAGTGATGCTCCTTCCAAGGAATAGATGATGCTCTTTCTGCCTCACTGCCTTTGCTCACACTGGTTCCCTTTCTAGATGGTCCCTCCTGACCATGTCTGTCTTTAGAATCCAAACTCATCTTTTTAAATCCCAATTCAACCATCAAATTCATGATAAAACCATTCTTGATCTCCAACCCTGCCAAGGAGGCATTGATCATTCCCTCCCTTTTTTGCCCTCACTGTATCCTATACTAATAGTTGAGTTTCAGTGTGCAGAGATTCACCTGGGAGCTTGTTTATGAGATCTCTGGACACCTTTTTGTACCCCAAGATGATGTAATGGGTCTGGGGTTGGGAATCAGGATCCAGGGTTTTAAGTAAGCACTCTCATGTGATCTGAATCTATCTGATCCAAGAACTCTACTTTGAGAAGCACTGTCATCAGAGCACCAACAACCCCGTAGGCACACTTCGATTTGCGTGTATTTGTGTGTCTCTACTAGATTGTGTCCTTCTTAAAACCTGAAACCAAGTCTTGTTTAACTTTGCAGCCAAAGCACCTAGATTGGCTCATGGTAAAGGCTCATTGAAAGTTAAGAGAAATTTATGCCACAATTTGTCATATGGGAAACTTTCATGCTATAAAAGATCAACATGAATATTGCTTTTTAAGAATTACTCTATTTTTTCCATGTGTCAATAGATTCTAATTGTCAGGAAGCTCTTCTATTTTTTACTTTTCCCTGAAGAAGCAGAGTCTATAACCTTCCTTCGTAACCTATTCCAATATTTTCCACCCATCCTTAATACAAACTGCTTTATTTACGTGAACTTAATTCTGAAGTTTTAAAATATTGAACTCATTCAGTTCCTATGTAGTAAAGATAGGAAATGATTTTTAAAACATGGAATGTTTCTGTAAGGAATCAAAGTTTCCACAGTGAAGAAACTAGACAGAGATTTTGTCATTGCAGTGGCCATTTGTAGTCACCCCCCCCAGCATCCAGCCCCATCAGAGCTAGGCCAGGCCACAGAGAGAGTGCTGGTTAGAGATGGGAGAGAATGAAAACTTGCACTTTACTGTCAGTCCAACAGACAGGTTGTGCAAAGAATACATAGGGGACGTGAGAATGCAAATGAATGGGTGCAGCTCCCCAGTCCCCCAGAGTTTCTCATGCATGCACCTGAACATCAGCAATCGATGCAGCCTTTTGACAATGAAGATGGCACTAGCCAGAAGGTCGCACCGGGACAGATTCCCAGAGCTGCAGGCTGGGGAAGGGACCACTCCAGCTCTGAAGGATTTATGTACCAACATAAAAAGCCAGTCCTGCTACACTTTAGTTCCCCTCTGTGGTGGTGTTTCTTACTGCGTTACTGGGCCTAATGCAGGCCTATCCCATCCTCCTTCCCAGTAGTCCCCTAGTTTGTGTTTGGAGATCCATGAAGTTAGCAAAGTCTAACACTAACCTTAAACAAGGGAAGGAGCGAGTGATCTTGGCCAAGTCAGTCATCACATTCTATTGCCCTGCCTCCATGGTTATTTCAGGGAAAGGCACATGATCTGAGCAGTCCATGAAGCATGAAGCTTAGAACTTTTCAGGGAATGCTAAGACAATGCTGCTCTCTCTTGGTCTATAGGGTGTAATGTAGAGATATGAAGTCTGGAAGTGCTACATTTTGCTATTAACAGAGAGTGAGCCTGAAGATGAAGCCGACACATAGAGGAAAGGAGGCTAAAGCCTTGATCCAACTGTGCCTGAAGCCTAACCTCCTTCTAGTCTTTTTTACTTCTAGTTTTTTACTTATAGTCTTTTTTACCAATTTGATTTGGGTTCTCTATATTGGCCACTAATATCACCCACATTGCTATAGTCCTTAATCACTCCCATTGGAGCTTCATGTAAAACAGATGAGGATGCTGTCAGGTGAACTAACCTCTTCAAAGTAAGAAATCTTGCATAAACCTCAGGGATGCTTGGATCCCAGCTCTATGAATGAAATATAGTAAATATGAACTCAAACTTACAGAGGAGAAAAAAATATTAGGTCATTAACAGCTCAGCATAGAGGAGTTTTCTGGCCTTTTCTGCAGCGAGGAAGAATGATTTAGGGTCCTGGGTGCCTAGGGAAGCAGATTATAAAAAACTAACTCACTGACTTTATCAACAATTCCCAATTGCTTTACCATCTTACATGTGACAAATATTTACAGTGTGAGATTATACACTTTGTAGTCTTTTTTTTTTTTTCAGACGAGAATCTCACTCTGTCACTCAGGCTAGAGTGCCGTGGTGTCATCATATCTAACTGCAGCCTCAAACTCCTGGGCTCAAGTGGATCCACTTGCCTCAGTCTCCAGAGTAGCTGGGACAACAGGCATGAGCCACCACTCTCAGCTAATTTTTTTCATTTTATTTTAGAGACAAGGTCTGGCCATGTTGCCCAGGTTGGTCTCAAACTCCTGGGCTCCAGCGATCCTCCCACCTCAGCTTCGTAAATTTGGGGGATTACAAGTGTGAGTCACTCCACAGGGCTGTTTGTATCCATTTCTAAATTGAACCTGCCAAGGGACTTCAACGGGGTTCAACATTTTAATGTCTTTATTTTTAAATATCTGAAGCAAATATGGAAAGTTACTAAGACTTTTAAAACAGACACTAGAATAAAACCATGCTGATCTTTGACAAGGGTATAGGAATTCAGTTTGCCAGGCCAAGTTTCTCAATTTCAACATTCGTAAAAATGATATTTAACTCAAACTGAAAAGCTCTTAGTGCTGAAGAAAAAATGCTATAAAAATTCAAAGTAATGAATGGTCCATGAAACTGGAGATAGAAAACTGGGGGGGGGGGAGGTTCAATGAAAAATTAGTTAAAATAATACCAACATTCAGTCCTTAAGGCTAATAGTGTCTTCATAGCCCAGGTGACAGAGCTAAGGAAATAAAGAGCTACATGTAAAAACAATAGAAATCATATTGCTGTTTCTTGAAGTTTTAAAATTTGTCATAAGACACATTTATGAAAAACAAAATTCTGGATGACCATGACTATGTTGACAATTTTTTTTTCTAAGAAAAGGTAGGAAGATTTTCCTTTAAAATGCAAAATTTGTTGGTTGACTTAAAGACCAATCCTATCTCAAGATGTTCAGGTTCTATCGACACCTCAGTCCATAGCACAGGATTCCTCTCTCCAAAACCACCAAAATTCAGTTTCACTTGAATGCACTATGGCCAAAGTTTCAAAATGTAGAACGCCCTCAGAATTGCATTTTGAGAAGTGAAGGCTGCCTAACAAATTCATAGAACCCCCTTATTCAACACCAACTAAAAGATCCTAAGGCTCCAAGACCCCGTGGATGACGGGTTCCCAGTTTGAACCTGTAGCACGAGGGGGTGGAGCTCAGAGGGCTGGGACCGTAAGTATTCTCGATTGTGCCTCGTTCTGCAAAGTTCACCTTATGAAAACCAGCCACTGAACAATCGGTGTCACCGCAAAAGGAATGCCTTTCTTCTAACACTACAAAGGTTTGTTACGGCCTGGCTCCACAGGTCTTAGGACTCGCCAATCCGCCTCCGGGGAATTTTAAGAGGCAGGAGAAAGCGTCCTGCAGGAAGACCCCAGGCCGCCGCTCCCGCACTCTGTGGGAAGGGAAGCTTGGAGCCCCCTCCCGCCACCGGAGCGGATGGGCGGGGCAAGCTGGAAGCCCCGCCTCCAGACCCGCCCCCTCCGCGTGGCCCGGCTCCCTGATGCTCTGGGCCTGGCGGCCTCCTGGATACCGGAGGCTAGGGGGCGGAGCTCACCCCTTGCCCTTGGGGTCCCCCGGGCTCCACCAATCAGCGAGCGCCCTGTTGGCCGTCCGCTGCCTCCTGCGCCCCTCCCTCTCCCGCCGGCCTCCGCGTCCCAGAATCCAAGATGGCGGGGTCCAGGCGTAGGGGTCCCCAGGCTAGAGCGCGGCCGTTTTTCTGCGCCCTGCTGCTGTCGCTCAGTCGTCTCGTCGGGGGCGACGGCGTGGGAGGAGACCCCGGCGCCGCGGGCACCCCGGCCGCGCAGCCACATCGCCGTTTCGAGTACAAATACAGCTTCAAGGGGCCGCACCTGGTGCAGAGCGACGGGACCGTGCCCTTCTGGGCCCACGCGGGGAGTAAGCCGGGGCAGAGGGCTGGGGGCCCGGGTCCCTCCTCGCCTTCCGTCTCCTCTTCATCTTCTATGCGCCAAAACCCAGGAGTGCGGAGGGTCCCGTTCCAGCTGCTGCATACAATATGCGCTGTGAAGGGGACCCTCTCGGCAGTCCCCTCCTCGAGGTCCCCACTGGCGCCCAAGGTTCCCTCCGCCTGGCCCCAAGTCTTCCCCCACTCAGTCTCTCTACTCTCACCTCCCTCCTGTCTTCTCTTAGATCTCATCGGGACTTTCCGTTTGATCTAGAGGTATTTTGTTACTTCCTGCACTTCCAAGCACTCAAACTCTCTTCCAGGCATCACGTTTCACCCTAACGCCACGTCTCTAAGGGAAATGTCCCCCACCCCCAGCCACCCTAACCTGAGACCTGTTCCAGCAGCCTCCGTGCTTCCTTTCCCGCCCTCCCCAACCCCTGCTTTCTTTCGGCTGGTGTTAGCCCCATGGTTAATGCTGTGTGGTTTGTACCTGATGGCTCCAGAGATGGTAGATATTGGTCTTAGAGTAATTTTACATCTTTGTATGTCAGAAGACATTTTTAAACTATTGGAACTCCACCTTAAATTTGCCTCTCAGTGATTTGGTGTGGTCTTTGATCTTTTCTCTTGTATTGACACATTATGTAACTCTTGAGGAGAAGGAGCAAATTTTTTAGTATTGATTGTTTCTGAATCTGAGACTAAGAACATCTTAAGCCCTTAAAAAAATTTTTTTTTAATTGAAATAACCTCGGATTCATGTTTTATTCACTCTCCGTGTTAGGCACTCTTACAGATAACAGAGCCTTGCTAGAGCATATGTGAAAGGAAACTTATTTGCATGTTTTAGTGCTGATGTGTCACTGCTGACTAAGGAATCAGCTGTAGCACTTGGCATGTCATAAACTGTTCAGTGACCATCAGATAGATACACTTTTTGAAACAAGTGCCTTTATATGAGATGAGAAGCTCTGGCAATTTGAATTCTATCTTTATGTGTAATTAAGTAATCATTTATATAAAGCTTGTATACATCATTTTAGATTGTCTAGTGCTTGAAACAAATGTTTCATTTCTAGAAAGTAATTACCGAATAGAAAGCACACTTTTAGGAAGGGCCATTTCCTTGAAATTAATTTGTAATTAAAAGGTATAAATTTCAATTTGACATAATGACCAGTTGTCAAGTATTTGAAGTAGAGTGCAATTACTTTCTTACTCAGCAGTTATTTATTATCTGCCCACACAGCAAGTATATATTCCTAGGCATTTGTTATCAAGATGACATTGTTCTTAATAAACAAAAGTGATGTAAATGATACAGCCACAAATTTGGGGGTTTTTTTTGTTTTTTGAATGATGGTGAATTTTACATTGGTGGTGGTGTATTTATTTGTACTTTTTCACTTCTGCACCTCTCCATTGCTTGCCTGTTCTTTCTCTTTTTCTCACACGAACATACACCACATCAGCAAATTAGGAATATTAATCAACTACTCAAATTAGTTACCTTGACTTTCTTTAGAGAGCCATAACCAGTTCATGTAGTCTGCTGCAGACATGTCAGATAATGTACTTGAGTGAATTAAAGTTGTGTGGCTAGAGTGAATTTGAAATAATAGGATTAGTAGTTTAGCCATGACTTATCCAGCTACTGACTCTGGAATCACTGCTGTGGATATCCCTTGCTTTCATTGTTACTGTAATTTTTCCAGTCTCTCTGTCATCTTAACTCCATTAATCACTTTTCCCTTTTTCATTGCCCTGTGATGCATTATTTAAAATAATTTTAAAATAGAGAAATTTAAGACCTAGTTTAAACACAGCCATTTTACCTTCACCCCCAAATTAAGACCAATGCATGGTGTTTCTCTTTCTTAACTTTAATGTCCTTTTGTACTTTGATTACACATCCTTAGGTCCATAAGGGCAAAACCTGATAAGTTTGTAACCCTTTGTAGCTCTCAAAGCTCTTTCACTTCATTCTTTCATTTGATCCTTAGTAGGCAAGGCACTTGTTATCTGTTTTACAGATGAAAGAACTGATATTCAGAAAGGTTAAGGTTTTTGAAAAAGGTTATGTAGTAAATGTCAGTAATATTGAACTCAAGTCTAGTTCTTCTGGTTCTTTCTTCTGGTTCTAGTTCTCTTCCCATGACTCCCCCTCCCCCTTTTGAGTGTTTGAAAGTGATGGAGATGGTGACTGATCCTACTAAAGAAGGATCTCAACCTTTATTTTTGTCAAGTTTTTTCTACCTGTAAAGTGTTATTACAGTTACAGTTGTTTTATTTCCCAGCTTGGATGTCAGAACTGGTTAATATCCAAGAGAGTGTGCTAGAATTGTTCAAATTTTAGGCTTCATAGGTGCTGTAATAATTATCTAGTGTTAGTCTAATAATAGGTGGAATAGCTAACATTTATTGAAACATTTATATGTACTTATATAGGCAGGCACTTATATACCTATGAAGGTGTTAGAGAAGTAGAGTGATTGCCTAAGATCAAACAGCTAGTAAATAGGGGAGCTGGAATTTGAAACTAGTCTGGACATGCAAACCACCATTTTGGGGTTTACTCTTTTCTCTGAGAATCTGCTGAAGTTGAAGAATTGCTTATTGCATTGAAATTCAGTTGACCCTCTCCCTAGAAGAATATATATATGCACAATATTTTGCATAAAACTTGTGGGGTATTTATGGAAGTGATCAAGCACAGCCCCTTCATTTTACAGGTGAACATATGGTGAACTCAAGAGAGTAAGAGAATTATTTGTTCAAAGTCACACAGCTGAACTGAGACTAGGAACAAGTCTCTTGATTCCTAGTGGTATGTTCTTTTCACACTGTTTGAGCTTTCTAACATTTGCAAATTGGTAAAAATACATTATTGCTGTTTTTAAAAATGCAAGTTTTTGAGATATTTAGAAAAGAATATTATCATAGTCAAATATAAGTTTGTCTTTTAAGTCATAATTCTCTCCCTCTTGCCCCTTGTCCCTGGAGTTTTTAGTGTATGGTTACAGCTTTATTGATTGATTGCAGAGATATTTCACTGTTCAAAAGATAAGGAAAGTATTAGCCCTAAACTTTTAAAGTTGAAACTGTCAAACATGGAACTTTTTCCTGACAGTTATTGTACAGGTTACTAAGTTAAAATTTAACCTCTGTAGTTATGTGTAACAGTTTGGAGATGATTTGTTGAGTTTTACCTAATCATAACTCAAAGCTTTTCTTTCCTGATTTCTGTTCTAGATGCTATTCCAAGTTCAGATCAAATTCGAGTAGCACCATCTTTAAAAAGCCAAAGAGGGTCAGTGTGGACAAAGGCAAAATCAGCCTTTGAAAACTGGGAAGTTGAGGTGACATTTCGAGTGACTGGAAGAGGTCGAATTGGAGCTGATGGCCTGGTATGATCATTTATTTAACTCAGAAAATGTATATAAATGCATATACTACTAACAGTTCCTAGCCTCTAACTGTTCCCTGTTATGTATTTTCAGGCAATTTGGTATACAGAAAATCAAGGCTTGGAGGGCCCTGTGTTTGGATCAGCTGATATGTGGAATGGTGTTGGAATATTTTTTGATTCTTTTGACAATGATGGAAAGGTATATTTATTGTCAGGACTGTTACCCACTTTCATATATCTGCCAGCAGAGTTAGGCTCTGAGAAACATAGCTTATTTAACACTTTCATTAGTTTAATAGTAGAAAACTCCCCAAGCTATATGGTACATATGGTCATTAATTTTATATAGCTGGGAGTTTATCAGTTTAAAGTTATGTGTACATGACTTTTCATACACCAAGGTCATAATGGAGCCCTGACTCTGAGAACTTAACAATGACCCCACTACCACTACCACCGTATATGCCTTTAGTAATTTTAATGGGTAAGCATGAGTCTTTAGATGTAGGTGGTGAAACCAGTAGTGTTTAAAAGACTGTAACAGTTTGCTTTCATGAGAACATCTGAGTGCATGACTATTGCTAACTCACATATTTATATCTTTTCACATGTTAATCGTTGGTTTTGAGCGGGCCAATTTTTCTGATTATCTCTCCTAAAACAGTTAAGAACAAAATGTACTTACATGTTGGAAACATTAACTTGGGGTTTAGTAGCTGTAAGATTGAAGATCTTGTCTCCAGCTGATTATTTCTCTGCTGATATCCAGAGGTTATCAGCAGTTTAAAGGAGAACTTTAATAACTCCTTGAATGCCAAGGCCATGTTATTTTAAGATTTTGAGTCCTGGAATCTTAGATATATAATAGCCCTTGTAGCATATCAAGGATGATCAAGAATTTTTTGACTAAGAGCATTAAAACAAATACATTTTCTTTATTTTTAGAAAAATAATCCTGCTATAGTAATTATAGGCAACAATGGACAAATCCATTATGACCATCAAAAGTAAGTGTGTTTTACATTATTCCTGATTTCAGCTTCTCTTTGGAAACCTCATGAAGTATACTGAGATATGTTAAAATAGATCAGATCTGAACACTTTGCAACTGAAATAAGATTATTTATTTTCTTGAGTTGTATTTGATAACTTGGTGGAAAGGTTTTATTTTATTTTGTTCTGTTTTAAAGTTCTTTCTATTGATCACCTCAGATTTCAAACACAAAATGTATTTTTATTTAACATAAAATTATATAATACTTTTGAAAGTTTATAGACTGTTCTTGGCTTTCTATGATGCCACTAGTCATGCATTTTCATCTTTATTAAAAGGGATCTTTGGAAAGTAAAGTCGAACCTTGACCAGACTGATGAGTAAACAATTTATGCCACCTCATCCAAGCTTAATATTGCTTTATTTAAAGACTCTCTCAGTGATTTACAGAGCTTCTAAGTGTTTACAACAGTCACCTCTGTTTGTGAGTTCCACTTCCATGGATTCAAACCATGGATCGAAAGTATTTGGGAAAAAACCAATAATAGTAGTAATGAAAAAAACTTGTACAGTATAACAACTACTTACATAGCATTTATATTACATTAGGTGTTATACATTTAAGTCTAGAGATGATTTAAAGTATATGGGCAATGTGCATAGGTTATATGCAAATATTACACCATTTTATATAAGGGACTTCAGCATCCGAGGATTTTGGTATCCACAGGGGTCCTGGAACCAATGCCTTACGGATACTGAGGGACGACTGTATAATATAAATGAATTAGGTATGTACAGTTTTGATTTTCATGTGCTCGTTGTGGAGGAGTTACTTTTTAACCAATCAGTGAACTGTACGAAAAATTATTTGTCCATGTTCCTGTTTACTATTTCTTGCCATTTAGTTTATCACAACTCTCTGTGGAGTTTACTTAAAATACAGGTGCCTAGGCCCCTCTTGGTTCTGGTTCAGTTGATTTGGGGTGAAATGTAGGAATCTACACTTTAAAAGCTCAGTGAGTGATTCTGATTCTGCCCTAGGGTGGAGAACGACTGCCATAGTCTCTTGTAAAATAGTATAACTTTCCCCTGCCGTCAGTGGGTGGTTAACTTTGTTTTCTAGTGTTACCCAGAGTTTTGACAGAAAAAACTTTGTGTCTTCTGAAAAAATGACTTGAAATATCTCAAGACTTTGTCAAAGCTGATGTTATTTTAATCTTCTTGAACTTTTAAATATTGAAAAGCTTTCTAAGCATCTCGTTTTCCTTTCTCTCATACATAGTGATGGTGCTAATCAGGCTTTAGCAAGTTGCCAGAGGGACTTTCGTAATAAACCTTATCCTGTCCGGGCAAAGATTATCTATTACCAGAAAACATTGACAGTAAGTAATGTGCACTTAGAGCTAATCAAATGAACAATACTCTAGTATGATATTTCATTTTGAATTCTTGGTAGAAATTAAATGCATTTAAATTTGGATATTGCTCATGTACTCATCAGCATTACTCTAAAAAGGACAGAAGTGGCTTTAAAGTCACTTTGTAAGTGGTCGTCTGTTGTAAAACTTTGCCAGTAGGTTTCCATTTAGTCAGTAAATGTTTAAGCACCTTCCTATATAGCACATGTTAAACACATATCCAAGCCTTCAGGATACAAATATGAGTAAGACAAAGATCACTGTCCCCAGAGAGCTTATAATCTACTGGAAGAGACTTATTTCTAGCGTTACTGTGCTGTGTGGTAAATGCTACAGCACCCACATTAGGCACTCAAATGTTTATTTAATTAGTATGTGCACCCTCAGCTTGTCCCAGTTGTTTCCATTAGAGGGAGAAACAATGTAAGGGGACATTGGAAGCAACAGGTGCTGTTAGGAAACAGTCAAAACAAGAGGTTTGAAACACAATTGTGGCATTTAACAGTGGATTGGAACTGTAAGGTGAATAAAGAAAATTATTGATGACCCCATAAACATGTGTTACTGGCATTAATCAGTGGACATTTTAATATTAGTTAACAAAATGATAGGTGATCTTTTAAAATTAATTTTTAAAGCTAATTTTTAGTTCATGTGTTTTCATCCTATATTATGTAGAGATTAACTCTTCATATTGACAGTTATTTTATTCTCTTGCTGAAAATTTGGACGGAGTACTGTAACATTTTACTTGTGTGACTTAACTGTCCAAAACTTTCACTCTGAAAGTAGTGATAAAAATGCTCTTACTCTGGGACCATCGACCTGCTTCTTTTGCATCCACTCCGTATCTCAGTGATTTAGGGTGGAGTTAGTGACTGGGTTGTTAGAAATGAAATGTATTGAAGAGGCTAAACTACTACTTGACTGGGAATAATAATGAGAAGAGTATTCACGTGTCAGGTGGATTCCTGTGCTTTCTTAGAATTCCAAGATTCTATTAAGAAATGTAAGGTCATTTCACATATACATTCTGCAGAGTAGACACTTATGTGTCTTTTTAGTTTTTCCATTTTCTGCCCTTTTTGTCCGTATGACTCCTGTCATTTTGGCTCTCTGCTAATGTATGAGTGTCCAGTTAACCCATTAATTTAATAAAGAGGCACTCACTACTTGTTAAGGCAATCTATTTAATTCTCAGCCAGCTGTAGATAAAATTGTACATTTAACCTCTTGGTTTTAGCTCTTGTCAGTGGGGTTTCAGAACAAGTCTGATCCCTTTTCTGTATGAACCATTCAAAAAGATTAATCATGTACCCCTAAATCTTCTTGAGAGAAGGTGAGCCATAGTCTGTTTCATAGAAAGTTATCAAAATGTTCTCTTTTTAAGCCTTTGACACATAGAGGGGCAAAAACATTTTCTTAAGTAAAATGTTTTATTATGTAATGACAGTAAGGTTATTTAAAATTACTCTTTATAATAATGAAGCAAGAATGAATACTATTGGTCATCAAATGGAATAACTGAAATTCATATTATCAATGTCCTTTATAAAAGTTATGGATATGGTATGTCTTTCTAGGTAATGATCAATAATGGCTTTACACCAGACAAAAATGATTATGAATTTTGTGCCAAAGTGGAAAACATGGTTATCCCTGCACAAGGACATTTTGGAATATCTGCTGCAACTGGAGGTCTTGCAGGTATATCTTCTAATATTAAAAGTTCATGAATTGAGTTTTATTGGGAATGGTATATTTTAGGAATAATGTAAACTTTTTTACTTTTAACCTTTAACCCTTTGCACTTGCTTGGTTTTTTCTTGATTCCTTTATTCTACTTGGGATTTAATTTTTTTAAATACCCCAGATTTTACAAAGTGTGGCAGTAGAATAAAAAACTGGAGTTTCTTTTCATACAAATTTATTTGGATTTTTTTATATTTCAAATTATTGATACATTTAAAGAGTAATTTTAATCTCTGTAATTTTTGCTAACCATGTCGACATCCGAGTACAAAGGGTTAAGGCTAGTTGGAACCTTCCACTCATCTACTGTGCCCATCTTTTGTTCTGTTGAGACTGCTAATCTTCTATTTACATTGTTCTGCAGGTTTACACATTAGCTGAGGCTACATACAAGTATGTAATTAGAGCATCAGTTTGGGTGCTATTTAGTGAAGGAGACATATTTAAAGTAGAGGCTATAAAAGATTAATTGCCACGTGTTTTAGGCTCCCAAGAGTTGTCACATCACATATCAATGAATTTGGCAAATTGAGGAAGTGTTATTTGGGGACTAAACTTTAAACAAAAATATACTGATTGTTACTGATTGTTACCATTTTTTTCCACATGTGATAAATGATGTCATTCAGCATTAGTACCATTTTGTGTTTATATGGTACATTGTGGTTTTAAGTATTTTCAAATATATGGATTGTTCTTTACCATTTTCTTTTTTTTTTTTACCTGTCTGCAACTCTGGATCTCCTTATGAGTGGCAGAAAGCATAAAGATGGCCGTATAGTTGAAAGTAGTTGCTCTTGCATTGTAGATGTGACCAGCCAGGATTGGTATCTTAGTCCAGTGTTAGAGGGTTTAATGTGCTGAGTCCCTGCTTTCAGCTTAAACAGCTTGCAATTAATTTGTTTTTTATATGATTTTAGATAAAATTATTAATTATCTTCCATGTGAGAAAAACAAATATGAAAGTAAGACCAAAAGTGGTATGTGCTGTATAAGAAAGGTTCAGAGACAGGCTCAGGAAATACAGAACAGGATTTTTTCTCATTTGTCTGGGACATATGCATGAAGGAGATTTGTGGCAAAATGTGGGAGGATCTTGGTACCAAGATTAGGAGTTTGGACTTGTTTTGACCCTTCATTTGTTTGTTCATTACTTATCAGACACTTATTAAACATCTATTATATGTTAAACACTGCTAACTGTTCTGATTTAGGGTTTAAGAAAGTGAATTTTAGATTCTGTGTAATGTAAATCTTTCTGATAAATTGTTTTTAAGCTCACAGAGCACAATGGCCTTTACCAAATTAGAGCCAATTTTTGCTATTTGCATTATAGATTATTGTTTTTTAAAGCAGTGAATATAAAGTGCACTTACAACTATAAAAATAATCTTTTATGGAATTTTTTTCAGACTTTTTTTTTTTAATTTGTAGATGACCATGATGTCCTTTCTTTTCTGACTTTCCAGTTGACTGAACCTGGAAAGGAGCTGGTAAGTATACACATTTTTTTTAAAAAAAGTTTATCAGTTTAATGTTTTTGCCCTGTGGCCAGAAATTTGAAAGGTGGACTTATTTTGGATCTTGTTTCTGCCAGTTACTGCTATATGACCTTGTACAAGCTAAAAGAGGAAATTAGCAAGAGTAAATTGGCTATGATATCAGTAAGGAATAACATTTTTTTGTTAATCTTTCAGCTAGTGGTAGAATAGTTATAATGAGAAAAAGAACATTTGGGGTATCTTACTGGTTTTCTTATCTTTTATGATCTATTCACAAACTTCAAAAAAAGCCTACACCAGATAAAGAAATTTCGGAAAAAGAAAAAGAAAAGTATCAGGAGGAATTTGAGCACTTTCAACAAGAATTGGATAAAAAAAAAGAGGAATTCCAGAAGGGCCACCCTGACCTCCAAGGGCAACCTGGTGAGTTGTGGCGAAGCCAACTGCAGTGGAGCAGCAGGGGTCGTGGCTCACAGCTGATCGGATCTGTATGTTGCCCAGCTCTGCGGGCCCTACGCCTCGGGCCGAGGCCCAGTACCAGTCCATGGCCTGTTAGGAAATGGGCCGCATATCACCTCCTGAGCTCCACACCCACCACCCTCCTCCATCCACAACACTACCCCCCCTTTGTTTGTGGAAAAATTGTCTTTCATGAAACCAGTCCCTTGTTCCAAAAGAGTTGGGGACCACTGGGCTCATCCCTGCTCTCTGAACTGTCAGGTTACAAGTAATTTCTGGAAAAAATTTATGAGCAAATCTTTAGTCTTTAAGGGTCAAGATTGGCATTTTTACCAGTAAGAGTGTGGCTTAGTGACACATGAAGTAAAGAGTACCATGGTTATGTGGATGAACAGGGAAACCACTAGAGTGGAAGATCTGCGAGGACAGAGATCTTATTTGCTGTGTTCACTGCTATGCCCCCTAAACCTAAACGAAACCCAACCCAGTGCTGACCTAGTATTGAAACACAGTAATTATTTGGTGAATGAAATCATTGAAGGTTTATGTTTCTGCTTTTAGTGGCACACAGTTACCTTACAACATAGGGACAATACTTGAAAACTATCAAAACTATTGTGAGAGTAATATGAAGTGCTATCTACTTCTCTTCCCCTTACTACTCAATACAACCTTGGACTGTAAAGGTTGAAAATTGTAAAATACTAGTCTAAGCCAATGTAATTAAGAACTTAAGTATACCAATGTCAAAAATAAAATATATTAAGGCCAAGTAGAGGGACTTCATATTATCTACTAGCTTTTTTATCTGGGTCATTCCCCATCAACATAAATGTTCAAATCTGTACTTAATAAAGCCCGAGTCTAACATTTGAACACTGGGTGTAGTATGCAGTTCTCTTAATGATCAACAGTAGTATTATTCAGACTTAATGAAGTTAAAAATGAAATATAAATGTCATTCTTCTTTTGAATTTGTTTTAAACATCATCACATGTGGTTTGCGAGTATGTCCCGAAGCTGATTGTAGCAAGTGTTTAAAGAGTACTGTTTGGTGAATTTTGGCAAATGTGTATACCCATGTAACCGTCACTGATCTGTGTAACCAGATCAGTAACAGAACACTTTTATCACCCCAGAAAGTTCCTTCATGCCTCCTTCAAGTCAATCCCCCACTCCACAGAGCCAATCACTATTTTGATTTCTATCACTATAGATTTGTTCTGCATATTCATATACATAGAATCACATAGTATATATGAAAGAGAAAAATTATTTTTAAATGAAAAAAATGAGACCTAATTTATGACAAGTGGTTCAACCACCAGAAATGGCAAAAGCAAATATAGTAATTGAATCATAATTGAATTAATTACCTGCATATTTACTATTTGGGAGATTATACCACTATGATGATAATGTTCTAATTTTGGTATATATATTGGCACTTTGGTCATATGTAGAGGTGATCCTAATCATTTTAATTTGTAATTTCCTCTTCAGCGGATGAAATCTTTGAGAGTGTAGGAGATCGTGAGCTAAGACAAGTCTTTGAAGGACAGAATCGTATTCATCTTGAAATCAAGCAGCTGAACCGGCAGTTAGATATGATTCTTGATGAACAGAGAAGATATGTGTCTTCCTTGACAGAGGAGATCTCAAAAAGAGGAGCAGGAACCCCCGGGCAGCATGGGCAGGTGAGCTTTCCCAGTATGCAGGTATGCCTTCGCCGGCCTTAGATGGAGGGGAACAGAAAATAAATGCTGCTGTGCTGTGTGCTCATAGGATGTGGGTTACTGACCTTGCTGGTTGTCATGTTTTCCTTCAGATCACTCAGCAAGAACTGGATACTGTTGTGAAAGCTCAGCATGAAATTCTGAGACAAGTAAATGAAATGAAGTAAGTATATAAAAGTAGTGTCTGAGTGTTATGTGATATCTTTATCCTAAATTTGTGACTTCTCTAGGTGTGCAAGCACTGTATTGTTGTAAGATTCCTGTATGGGGTTAAGAATTAGATTCTGGATTCTTTTTACTAACAGGGTAATATAAATACAGCAACCTTTAATACTTAGAAACTGCAAACATGTCTGAATTTTTAAACTGTTTGAAGCTGGAAGAGGAAAAATTCTTTTAGCGTCTTTGAAAAGAATAAGAGGTTTATATAGTTATTTGCAGAGTCATGTGTGTTCTTAGATTAATGAAATACAAAAGGATATGGAGTAATATAACAATTGCATGAAAAATACAAGGAGTAAGCATGTGTAGCATTGTAGGACTATAATACAAGCAGACTTGATGCAGGAAATTCTTCTGATAGAATGAAACCATTTTGAAGAAAATATGTAAAACTACCTCTTTTTCATTCCCATCATATACTTAAGAGAACCGGACAAGGAGCAGAGAGGAGATACTGTGTCCTTGGAACGTTGAATAATAAATTTCTAATGAGAATGATTCACTCATAGATAATTAACAGCTTTCAATGCCTGGAGCAGAGAAAACAAGCCAAAGTATCACATTTCTATGATAAGCATAACTTAAGAGCACTGTCCCAATTGATGTAACCCTTGACAAGAATGTCAAAGTGAGCTCTTTAGAACTGGAAAATTAAACAGGGTTAAACAGAAGATGATAATACCTGACTTCTAGAGATTAAAGGCACTTAATTTGTAACTGCAAATTTGTATTTCTTCAATTTTACTCTTCGGCATTTTAAAAAATCTTCAAATTGTGAACTCAGTATTGAAATATTTATGATGCTAAATAGAATCCTTTTAGTAACATAACATTTTAAAAAATCTTTTTATTTTGATCCAATTTTAGACTTCATAAGCTGGAAAAATAGTACAGAAAGTTTCTGTATATCCCTACCCATCTTCCTTTAATGTTAACATCTTACATAAGCATACTGAAATTAATACTGATACAGTTCGATCAACTTAAACTAATGACCTCAAATTTCACCAGACCCTTGGTTTTTCCACCAAGGCCTTTTTTCTATTGCAGAATCCTATCCGTGATCACACATTGCATTTAGTTATTATTTCTCTTTAGATTTCTGCCATCTGAAAGAGTTCATCTTTCCTTGTCTTTCATGACCTTGACATTTAGCATGAGCACTAATCACTTGTTTGGTCAGATGCTTTTTGATTTGGGTTTGTCTGGCGTTTACTCATGATTGGATGGAAGTTCTGCCTTTTGACAAGAATACAACAGTGCATCATGTTCATGGTGTCAGTATATCTTATTACTAGTGATACATAGAAGTGGAGAGAATAGTACTGTGAACTTATGCATATCCACGAGTCAGCTGCTGAATGTGAACATTTTGCTAGTACAATCTTGCTTTACCCCCCTCACCAAAAAATCCCCAGTCTTAAAGATAATTCATGATATAAATGTTAATTCATAAACTATTTACCATTTATAGAGCTTTTTAAGTACTCCTAGGTAGAATAACTTGGTATTTTCGGGTAAGTTGAAATTCACAGTTATTATTTTATTTATTAATAAATAGGCCTGTTAATATTTTTACTATTGTTAAAAAATACTTATAGTCTCTTACTACTATACTTACAGAGTCATCCAAAGGGCATACTCAGTGGTAGAGCTCTTTATCTTACATCTGGATATTAATAGTGAAATTACATGTTGTATAGAGATTACATTCTAAAGTCAGTATGTAAGGTAAAATGTTATATAAGGTCAGAATTATCCTTCAAAAAGATACCACATTGGAGGTTATCACACAATCCCTCAATATACCAAACAACCAGTTTTCCTTCATGTTTGAAACAAATAGGTGCTTCTTTGGTTAGGTTCCAGTTGAAGCACCAGGTTTGTATGTAGAGGCTTTCAGAGAGAACTGCAAGGAGAATAGAATTACATTTGTGTTTGGGGTCCTCAAGACCCCTTAGGTTCTGTGGTTTGCTAGAAGTACTCATAGAACTCAGAAAAGCTGTTAAACTCAATGATTATAGTTTATTACAATGAAAATAGATGTAGAGCAAAATTAGCAAAGAAGAAAGTTGCTTAGGGTAGAGTACGGGAGAAACCAGGAACAAGCTTCCAGTTATCCTCTCCCAGTGAAGTCTCAAAAACAGTACTTTATTCTCCCAAAATAATGTGACAACACGTGCAAAGTGCTACACAACAGAGAAGCTCACCTAAGCCTTGGTGTCCAAGAGTTTTGTTGGAGGTCAGTCACATACTCAATTTCTATTCCCTCTAGAGATCTAGCTGATACAGTGAAAGCCTAAGACCCTAGGCAAACAAAAACAGATATTCACATAAATCACATCATTTGCATTAAATTTCTGACAAGGACCCACGACTCCAGGTATACAAAGATACTCTTACCAGGCAGGGTATTCCAAGGGCTCACAGGTCATCCTCCAGGGGCCGGTCAAGGCCAGTCCTGAAAATCTTTGGACTGTGCAGGGTTTGGGCATCTTAAGCTTGATGAGTTAATCGTTTGCAACATTGAACACCTAGAAAGATTTCTTAATAACTTCTTTAAGAGTGTCATCTGTTATGTTACTCAGTATCTACTTATACTATTAGTTTTAACACACATTATTTAGTAGTAGTCTGTAGTTATTTTTAGATGACCTTTAGTAAAAGAAAAGACATAACTTTACCTTTAGTAAAAGAAAAGACTTAATTTTATAAATTATTTTCAAATTTTGAAGACAGTTTAATTTTTTGAAATACTTATTTTCTTTGCCTGTTTGTTTAATGATCTGATGTATTGAGCTTGAAAAAGTATAACCATTTAAAATCTGTTACTTAAAAAATAATCTTTATAATGATTTCATCGGATAAAGGGATTTTCTTGTTTCAGGAATTCCATGAGTGACACTGTCCGACTGGTCAGTGGAATACAGCATCCTGGTGCTGCCGGGGGCTATGAGACAGCGCAGCACTTCATTGACATCAAAGAGCACCTGCACATAGTAAAGAGGGACATAGATAACTTCATGCAGCGAAATATGGTAACTGGGTTTCCTTCTCCTTTTATAATTATCAGAAAGGAAGAACTCATATTCTACATTATTCTACTGAAAATATTTTAACCTTTTAGTAAATGTTAATGCTCATTTTTAATGAGTTGCTCCTCCCATCCCATGATTTTTTTTATGTGTAGTACCTATATTATTGTTCCATGAGAATATTTTCCAGCTGGGCACAGTGGCTCACACCTGTAATCCCAGCTACTGGGGAGGCTGAGACAGGAGGATTGCTTGAGGCCAGGAGTTTGAGACCTGTTTGGGCAATGTAGCGAAACTCCTATCTCAAAAAAAAAAGAAAGAAAAATATTTTCTGAATTTCTTTTAATATTTTCTCTGATCCATGGGTTGTTTAAAGTGTATTTCTTTGGCCTATTTTTCCCCCCAAGGTTCTGATTTGATAATTTCTTGCTATCTTGTTAGTTTCATTTGCCTTCAGACAGGTTTTATGTGTTTGGATTAGAATGGATTGGATTTGTTTCTGGCTCTGCTACTTGTCTTCTGCAAGATCTATTTAGAATAGTAGAGGGGAAAAACTTAGGTATTCAATTTCTAATCCTATCTCCTTTATATTTTTTGGACACTGCCTTTCTTAACTACATTTCTATGTAAATGCCATGAATGTACATTTTTTTCAAACATTGCTTAATAGTTTTCTCATTGACCATGACCTCTCATCCAAAACATTATTTATTCCTTTAGCTCTGAGGTTATTTTGCCCCAACTTGAGCCTTTGTTGCTATGACCAAGTCGATGTTGTGGTAATATATGTGTACTGAAGGACTACCCCATAGAGGCAACCATGTTGAGAACAACTAATCTTAGAAGCCATTCTGTCTGAATACCTTGATCAAATTTTTATTCATGGTATTTAATTACCTCATTAAAATAAAAGGAATACTCATATAATTAAGAAAAGAGGCCGGGCGCAGGGGCTCACGCCTGTAATCCTGGCACTCTGGGAGGCCGAGGCAGGCGGATTGCTCGATGTCAGGAGTTCGAGATCAGCCTGAGCAAGAGTGAGACCCCGTCTCTACTATAAAAATAGAAAGAAATTAATTGGCCAACTAATATATATAGAAAAAATTAGCCGGGCATGGTGGTACATGCCTGTAGTCCCAGCTACTCAGGAGGCTGAGGCAGAAGGATCGCTTGAGCCTAGGAGTTTGAGGTTGCTGTGAGCTAGGCTGACGCCACGGCACTCACTCTAGTCTGGGCAACAAAGCGAGACTCTGTCTCAAAAAAAAAAAAAAAAGAAAAGAAAAGAAACATTTTTCAGAACATTAGTGTGAGTGATATTGAAGGCTATGAAATTGAAAAGAATGAGGACTGAGAAAAGGCCATTATATTTGTCAGGTAGTTCATTGATAGGGTAACCATGGAAATGTTTGACCTGGAACACTTTCGAGAGTGAAGGAGGTCCTGTTAGTAGAGCAAATGTGATATGGGAGTGTCCAGGGGAATTGTGGTCTGTGGTGACCCTAGTCTCAGTGACCTCAAGGACACTAAAGTCATCATTACACTCATGAAGAGCGGAGCCAGATGGTGTGAGTGACTGGCTGGTGAAGAGGTGGAGGCCTTCCAATGTCAACTGCTCTTTCAAAAAAAACGGCAATGAAAGTTGAAGGGATAGAAGATAATTTGTGGGGATAAATAAATGAAAATACTTGTTCATATAGTAAACCATCTAAGTTTTATAAAGATTTTCTGTTTATTTCTTTTTCCAAACTACTAATCTAATTGTAATAGAAAGGTCTTTGCCTTGTAGCCATCAAATGAAAAGCCAAAATGCCCGGAACTACCGCCATTTCCATCCTGTTTATCTACGGTCCACTTCGTTATATTTGTAGTGGTACAGTCGGTGTTGTTCATTGGTTATATCATGTATAGGTAAGTCTCTTGATAAAATTTAACCCAACATTTTTCTGCATCTGTTTAATTTGAAATACTCAACAGAGTTCTCTATTTATCTAAGTTATCTATATAACTTTACCTATAAAATTAGGTGTATACAGAGCAAATGTAATTTCTAGTCTGTGTCAGTTGACATAGGCGTGCATGTATAGAATATGTGCTTATCTTAATGTATTTTATACTTCAGAAGGCATTGATATTTTAATTTTAAGCAATCCTGTTTCTAAAGTTAAGTGTGCAGAACATTCAGTGTTTCTTTTTTTTCCTTAGGACTCAGCAAGAAGCAGCTGCCAAAAAATTCTTTTGACCACCATTTTCACAAGTGTGCACCATGTATGTATGTACAGCATGTTGTCTTTTTCAGGGAATTTAAGTATTTAAATTGTTTCAAAGTCTAAATTATTAAACTTTATATAAAATAACTGTTTAAACATTTGATTTACAGTAGGAATAAACCTTAAAGCACAGGCAACCACATTTAAATTTGTTCATAGTCCATAAATCTGTTTAAATTTCTGTGACTTTCTGTTCTGTAGAATGCAGCCACCAAATGAAATATTGACCAGTGAGAGGGTAAATAATAGAAAGTCAGGGCAAACCCTGGATATGAGTGTTACTCCTAAGTCTCCACTATTGGAGGTTACTCTATATTTAATGTAAATACACTAGCCTTCCTGCCTTCCAAAATAGGAGGTCTAAGTAAGATCTCCCATCATGTTTATTTTGTAAACAAAATCTTTTGTAGAGGTCAGAATTTTCTAATCTAAGACCAGGTTTGCAATCCTTTAATGTTAATAAGAGTTCCCTTTGAAATCAAAGAATATTTTGTCTGAGAGCTTTAGGATCAGGATAATGGGCTTCAAATGATAATTGAAATGTTTTTTTCCTCTGATTATCAATGGTATATTTCACTTTTAAAGGAAATTTTAGAGAAAGTTAAGAGCTGCTTTTTGCCTAAACATTTAGGTGAAAAACATTCCTCTGATAATGGTGTTTATAGATATTTTGCCCAGTAATGTACTAATTTCATGATTGCCTATATTCTTGAATGTCTTCATTCCAGTGGAGTCAGGCCATATTATGAAGATTCCCGTTTTGTACAGCATGTAACTTCAGCTCAAATGGCATGATCTGAGGATACTTTAATCTGATGAAACCTGTCACTACATTCTGGTTTACATTACTCCATGCAACCCGGAGTTTGTGACTGTTTGCATAGTCTTTAAATCAAGGAGGTTGTAGTTTTAAATCAAGCCGTTTTAAGGTTTTTGAAGCCAAAACTTCTGATTTCTTTATTTTAATGCCATAACTGAGAATACTGTGAAGAACTTGTTATCAAACTTAACTTGAAATGTCTGACTGGAAGGGGTTTTTATATAAAGTCTTTGTGTATATTTCTAGGTATTATAGAAACAGTCTATAAATGACATTTTAAAATACAGATTTAATTTTGTTTTCACGACTGACTTTTGCTATCTTCAAAATATTCCTTTGCCTCTTGTAGCTGAAGTGATTGTCTTTCGTCATAGAATCCAAACCTATGTTATAAAATAATACTAATAAATTCTTCCAAGCCTTCTTAAGTTTGCTCTCAAATGTCATTTACAGATTGGGCTAGTGACCTAAAAATCTGCACAAAGACTTTATGAAGAATTCTGCTTTATAACAATACTGAACTAGTACTGTGTGTACAAACAGTCTTACATTGCTTTGTATGTTGGCATTGATCCTAGAACACTGAAGAGAATATGCTAATTTGACTTACTCTATCCACTTCAGTCACTTCAACATAGAAAATGCTTCTCTACTGTTTTTCCTTTGTAGTGTTAACATTTTGCAATTCATGTTTCAGAGACATCGTCATCACAGAATTTACTCTTATTCAATGAAAAAAAATTAATACCTTCAGAAGAATGTTAAAGTTGTAAACCATGAAACTTGGGAAATCCTCTTGAGATAAAAGGCTGCCAAATCCAGTGTTATAAAGTCCATGGTCACATGTGCCTCAACATTAAAGAAACACCAGATCTATGCAGGATACGTTTTTCAGGCTAAAATTCAAGGGGAATCATTCTGAACATTCCTAATACAAGCAGAGATGTCTGTTATAAAAGAGCATGAGCATGAATCTTTTTTCTTTTTTACTTAGTAATTTAATTTGCTTGAAAATTTCTCAGTAAAGCAGTTCACACAGAATGTTTATTGTATTATTTGAAATTTGGTTTGTTTTCCTCAAAATCACTGACTTTCAGTAGCTGATTTCTGAACAAAAATGTTTGCTCTGTGGAAAAAATCAGTCACTTCCAGGATTCCTTCATTTCTCTACCATTTTGTATAATTGGATTTGTTCACTTCTTTCACACCAGCAAGTATTTTACAGGTGCCTTGGATTCAAACAAAATTGATTTTAAAATTTTAATGTAAGTCATTGTGTTTATGATGCCACTTTCAAAAAGAAAATGCAATTACATAATGGCTAATACCCTTATTTAATGTGCCTATTTCTGTTCTGATTGTTTGAATGTTTTATTCAGCTTGAAACTTCACCATGAAGTCACTAACAATAAATAAGATTTTGTTGTATGTTAAAGGGATATCAGTGTTTCTCAAAGTATGGTCCATGCACCATCTAGATCATGGAATGCTTATTAAGAATACAGATTCCAGGGCCTCATTTTAGACCACCTGAATCAAAACTTAACGGTGGAGCTGTAGGATATCATTGTTCGATAGGCACCTCAGGTGATTCTTTGCACACTAATGTTTGAGAACCACTAAAATGAGGAGTATGGGAAAAAATAGGTATTTTGTTGGTTTAAAGCTGAGCTGAGAACATAATATTTTTATTGTCAATGATATTAGCAAATGTGTACTGATTCTTTTATACCTACAGTTTAGTTAATGTTCCTTTTACCAAAAAACTCTTCATTTGTTAGCAACTGCAAACTAAATCCAGATTACTGCCTGTAGCTCTTGGGACTTGATGATGGCTTTTAAACTTACAAAATTATCTTCAGTTCATGGTCAAGCCATGAAAACTCACATCTTGAAACCTGCCATCTTTTTGCTTTCCTGATTATGATTTTGGTGACATTTTATCTCAGACAGTTGTACTTTTTGATACCTTGGGGACAACAAATGACTTGAACTAGGGATGGCCTATCCTGCTGCACTGCAGAGATAGAATTTTTGTAAAGAACATAAATAACAGTTATGAATATTAAGATACGGACTGGGTGTGATGACTCATGCCTGTCATCCCAGCACTTTGGGAGGCCAAAAAGGGAGGATTGATTGAGACCAAGTTCGAGACCAGCCTGGGCGAGAACCCTTCTCTACAAAAAATAAGAAAAATTAGCCAGGTGTGGTGATGTGCGCCTGTAGTCCCAACTACTCAGGAGGCTGAGGCAAGAGGATCACTTGAGCCTAGGAGTTGGAGGTCACAGTTGAGCTATGATCATGCCATTGTACTCCAGCCTGGGCAACAGAGCAAGACCCTGTCTCAAAAATAAGTAAATAAATAAAAAAGATGTGACTATCTTTCTCTGCCCATGTGGTTATCAAAAGGAGATAGTGAAAAAAGTTGAGGATTGTTTTATTTATGAGATCTAGAGTAAATCCACACTTGGAACTTTTTAGATCTGTATGTTGCCTGTTTAATATATTTCTTTTATGATATTACTTAAAAGTTTAAAAGGGTTTTCTATCCACTGTCAATTTCAATTGGATAACATTTTGTCAAGTTTTTTTTCTGATTGTTATTTGATGCTAGCTGGAATTCAAGAAATGACATTGACCTTATTCAAATAAAGAAATATTTTAGTAAATTTGCTTTTTCCTTCATTGATCTTAGGTAATAAGTAGCTATTTTCCAAGTAGGCCCTGATCTGTGGTAGTATTTCATTTATCAGGTTTCATGCTTTCTGCCCTAGGTGGCCTGCCTCCTGCAGTCTGTACGTGGAAGCATAACAAGAGAACATAGAAATGATAATGGATATGTGTTTACCCTTGTTGGTAATGAAAAATACAAATTAATTAAAATAATGTATTTAATGTTTTCACCTTTAATAACCAAATGCTGGCAAAAGTGTAGTTAAGCTGGAACTCTTAGTCATTACTAATTACTGGCAATTTTAGAAATCTTTTAATCATTTTGGCAAGTACTTTAACCAAGTAATTCCAATTCTAAAAGTTAATGTGGTATAAAAAGAAAAGACTAGGGCTTTGGAGTCAGACAAATCTGGGTTTGAATCTTGGCTCTGCCACTTAGTAGAGGTGACCTTCAGTTTTCTCATAATATTTATCTCACATGGTTGTTAGCATCATAAAAGAGAGTCCTTTAAAGAGGTTTTGAAAAACAGATTAAGTTGGTAGACACAGAAATACTGGACAAAATAAAAGAGTTAAATACATAGCTAGTTTGAAAGGAAACAGTATGAAACCTGAACAGGGAGTCGTCTGCTGGTTGCAGGGAATGGCGGAAACTAGACTGTATATAGACCCTGCCTAGATGCTATTGTTGGCAGTTGTCATGTTCATTTGGGGCGTTAAGGACATGGCTTCAGGCCTGGAAAACCTAGAGTTCTTGAACTGAGAAACTTGGAAAAAGCAAGAACCCTGGAAGAGCTACTTCTTCAGTGGAAATGGGCTAAAAGGACCTCTTACCAAATCAAGTGAAGGTGTGGGAAGCTTCTCTCTGGAGCTCTGGGCAGGGGGACACATTTCTTGTAAGAAATTGACGCCCCAGGCTTATGCTTTACTTGCATGGTGTGGAATTCTCCATGCCAAAAAAATATGTAAATTGGTGCTAGTCTGGTAAAACCCAGAAGAAAGGCAAAACAAAAATTGTCGTTAGCAATAATTCCACAACAGAAGTACATTAGACAGCCACAGACCAGCCAGTCCTAACTGAAATGAGCTCTAAAAGTTACAAACCAAACCAGAAAAATACGAAAGTGACAATAGGCACAATAAAATAGGAAACTTGGCACCTCCAAGAATCTGAGATAATGGAACAGTCTGAAAAAGATAAATATGTACACTTAAAATGTTTCATGAAGATTAGACTTAAGGCCGAGCAGCTTCAGTGCTCCCAGTGGAGAACTGTGGCCTGAAGGAAGACCAAGACAGTAAAAATAGAAAAGTAGAAAATTTACTTATCTATTAATAGCATTGTCTTAGTCCATTTGGGCTGCTATAACAAAATACCATAAATGAGGTGGCTGATAAACAACAGAAATTTATTTCTTACAGTTCTGGAAGGCTGGGAAGTCCAAGATGAGGAAAGCGCAGATTTGGTGTCTGGTGAGGACCTGCTTTCTAGATGCTGTCTTCTCACTCTGACCTCACATGGCAGAGGGGCAAGGGACCAGCCTTGGGCCTCTTTAATAAGGGTATGAATCTCATGAGGACTCTGCCCTCATGACCTAATCACCTCCAAAAGGCCCCACTTCCTAATACCATCACCTTCAGGGTTAGAGTTTCAGTGCATGAATTTTGGGGAGAATACAAACACTCAGACTATAGCAAGCATCTAATGATGATTTGGTGTGGGACTGATGAGAAAGGATAATGTAGGATATCATTCTGTTTCTGGCTTGGGGAATTGGATGGAAGGTGGTATCATGTTCTAAAATAGAGAACACAAGAAAAAGAATGGGAGTCAGAGGTGAGGGATGGGGAGGTTGAGTTCCATTTGGGACATAGATTTTGGTTTAACTAAGTAGAAATGACCAGGAGGCAATAGAGACTTGGAGTCAGGATAGATCACACCTCAATTTTTGATCTTTAAAATGTGATAATGTGAGATAAATGTACAGAGCACATGAACAGAGCCTAGAAACAAGATGCCTGTGCCCAGTAAATATTACTGTTATTCTATGGGTCTGAAAATCAGAAGAGATGACTGAACCACAACACTACAACGCAGGCTTTTTGGGTCTTTCCCTACCTGTTCGTGAATTGTAAGAAAGGTAACAGTCCTAAGCAGTGTTGGGAATTCCACTGAGTTTCTAACATCCTCCCAAATAAGTCCAGATATCTGCCTGGTCAGCAACCACATGGCATTTGCTCACTCTTTTCCTCTGAACCCCTTTATTTCCAGTGGGCATGGCTACTCTGACGCCAACATGCCCTTCTCAGTTGGCTGTTACTGCTCATTCTTCTGGATTCGGCCATTTGGACCACATCAACCCAGCAGTGGTACCACTTCTGCCATGTTCTAGCACACACGCAGGCCCCACCACCACTCTTGGGCAATGGTTGCACTCCCCTGCCAGACATCGCAGCCACTCTGCCATCTGGACGGGGCGCTCTCATGACTGCTGTTGCCCACAGAAGCAACAGAGGCTTCGAGCAGCCAGTCTGTGGATTGGTATATTAGGCTTCTTCAGAGAAACAGAACCAATCATATATATTTAACATATGTGTTAAATATTGGCTCACATGCTTATGGAGGCTGAGATCTGCCATCTGCGAGCTGGAGACCCAGAAAAGCCAGCTGTGTAGTTCGAAGGCTTGAGAGCCAGAGCGCTGATGCTGTAGATTCTGAGTCTGAAGTCCTGAGAGGCAGGAGTGCTGAGGGCAGGGAATGATCCCTGTCCCAGCTCAAGCAGAGAGCAAATTCAGCCGTCCTCTGGCTCCTGGTTCTGTCCAGACCCTCTGGACTGGATGACACTGCCCACAATGGGGAGGAACCAATTCAAATGCTAATAACCTCTTCCAGCAGCAGCCTCACAGACACACCAAAAATAATGTTTTGGGGGTTTTGTTGTTTTTGAGATGAGGTCTTGCTATTTTGCCCAGGCTGGTCTCAGACTCTTGGACTTAAGATATTCTCCCACCTCA